CAAAAAGGACAAGAAAAGGAGAAAACCCACAGGAAAAAAAAAAAAAAGAAAAGAAACAAAAAAAAAGACAACAAAAAGCGCTTGGCAGAGAGGGAAACCTGTTTTTTTTAAAAAGATCTGAGAAGAGAAACACATGAAAAAAAAAAACACAAAAAGACAAAAAAAAAAAAAAAAAAAAAAAAAGACAAATAAACTGCATGGTGCTTTAACAGGATCTGGTGACCTGGCTCAACCCAGCCGCGGCTGGCTGATGCTGTGCATGGCAGACTCTATTAACCGGCTCTACCTTCCCCTTCAGCAAAAGAGAAAAAAAAAAAAAAAAAAAAAAAAAAAAAAAAAAAAAAAATCAAAAAAAAAATCTGTATAAAAGAAAAAAAAAGCCGTAAAAAAAAAAAACACACAAGAAAAAAAAATTCCATGTTTTCCTAATTTGCACGAAATTTTATACCACATGATGTGCCTTGCCTTCGAAGCCTAAGTATTACTGGACCCGATATCAGTGCGAGGGAGTCGCTGCATGCCCGGGGCTCCCAGGGGGCCGGGGGGGCCCGGGGCGGCTGCCCCCCCCTCGCCTCCTGCATGGCTTCTTCTCGGCCGGAAAAGTCCCTTTTTCTCTCTATTATTCTTCTTTTTTAGCCGATTTTCCCCCTCAGAGACGTCTTCCAGTTGGTAATACCGATGCATCCTCTGCGCCAACACACCGGAATATGCAATAGCTGCGGGGGGGGCCGGGGGGGCGGCCACCCCTTTGCTTTGCCTCTCTTTTCTTTGTTTTTCTTCCCTTTTGGGGGGTTTTTATTTGGTTTTTTTCTGCTTCCAGCAACCAAAGGCAGCGAGGCGGGAGGCGGCAGGGACCCCCGGGCCAGAGCCCCCCCCGAACGCTCGGGGGGGGACACCCGGTGTTCGGGCGCGGCAGAACGGACGGGGGTGTGGTGGGGTCCGTGCGGGGAGGAGCAGGGATGGAGACCCCCATGGCTGGCCCTTACGGGGGGGCCACAGCGTCCCACCCCCCCTTAGGGGACCCCCGCTTTTTAATTGGTGTTCAATGGGGCGCAGGGCCAGGAGGGCTGAGCCCGGCTGCTCTCGTGACAGGAATGGAACCGTGTGAATGTAGCTGTGCCCCCCCACCCCGGGCTGGTGTCGGGGGGGGGGTCACAGCCTCCTCCTCACCCCCATCCCCATCGGCTTCATCCCCGGGGGTCCGGCTGGCGCAGCAGGGAGTGGCAGGAGGTGCCCTCTACCCGCTTCTCCCTGCTGTGCCCGTTGCCGAGCAGGGGCCCGACACCCCCAAAAAACCCAGAATTTGCCTTAAAACCCAAGCGTTCCGCCGGCCGGAGGGACGCCCCCCACAGCCCTCTGAGGCTGACGCGGGTCGTGACACCGGTGGGCGGGTGGCACCGGCATCGCTGCTGCTCGGGCATGAAGAAACGTCGTCGTCAACAGCTTTTAAAATTTTTAATTTTTCTTTTTTTTTTTTTTTTTTGGTGCCCAAAAGTATTAGTGGGGGGGCGGGGGGGGGGGGGGGGGGGGGTCGCGTCCCGCTGGGTTTTGCCCACCGGTGAGGCTGGTGTGGGGGTCCCCCGGGAAGGGGAACAGCCTTGGGAGCCGCTTCTTTATGCAAGGTGCAGTATTGATTTCTGCAAGGACAATGCAAGGAGGGAGCGGGGGGGGGGGGGGGGTGGCGGCCAGTTGAGGGGGGAGGAATGAAAATAGAGTACAAAAATACGAGATAAAATTTAAAAAAAAAAAAAAAAAAAAAAAAAAAAAAAAAAAAAAAAAAAAAAAAAAAAAAAAAAAAAAAAAAAAAAAAAAAAAAAAAAACAGAGAGAAAATTTAAAAAAAATAGAAAACCAGAAAACATAAAAAGGGGGTTTAGGCTGGAAAAGGCTCAGCTCAAAGCAAAAAATATAGGAAAAAAAAAGAAAGAAAAAGCATTTTTCAGCGGTGACAGTGACAGCGGAGGGAGGGGGGGGCACCAGGGCGGCCCCCCCGGCAAGCCCTGGGGAGGCGAGGGGCGCTGGCGCCCCTCGGGCCTGGCCCCCACCCCCCCGCCCCGAGGAAGCTCCCAGAGCCCCCGTCCCCGCGGGGACACCACCGGGGCCGTCCCCTGCCCCCCTCTTGCTGCCTCCCCACCCCGGGCCGGCAGCACGTCCGGCCGGGCTGCGGCCGCAGCCCCCCAAAACCCGCCCTCGGCAAGAAAAGCACCTTAAACCATGTGAAAAAAAGGCAAAAAAGAATCAACTCGACGCCCCCCAGGCCATAGGGCGGCAGCGGGGGGGCCGGGCCGGGGGCTTCCCCTTGGGGAGCCGGGGAGCCCCCCGCGCCCCCGGGGTCTTTGCACTGCTCCCCCGACACCCCCCTGGGGCCGCAATCCCGGCTCTGCCCAAAGGGAATATGCAACACCCCCCGGGCCCTCCCCGGGGGGCACCACTCATTTTTATTATTTCTATTTTTTTAATCATTCTCCCTTTTTTTTTTTTTTTTTTTTTTATCCCCGGCGGCCTCGATGGCCGCGGTCGGGGTGGGCGCAAAGCCGCGGGGGGGGGGGGGGGGGGGAGGGAACACTCCCCGTCCCTGGGGATGCTCCGGGGGAGTCCCCCACAGGATGGGGACACGAGGGGGCTCCGCTCGACAATCACCGCGGGGGTTTCATGCACTACAGTCTCTCCTAGAGGGTTTTTAGTCGGGCTCGTCGGCTTAAAAAAATTAATTAAAAATAGTCCTCGTGACCTATAAATAAAACAAATAACCTGTACATATATATATATATATATCTCCACATATATATATATGGGGCTGCAGGGCCGGGGGGGCGCGGGCCCACGGGCCCACACACAGTTAAGGTACTTTAAATCGCAAAGGAATATATATATATATATATATATAAAATCCCCTATATATATATATGTCTTGTTTGGTGGGGTTTGGGTTCTTTTTTGGATTTTGGGGTTTTTTTGTAGTTTTGTTTTGTTTGTTTGGGTTTTTTTTGTACTCGGAGTTTGGAATTTGCTGCTTTCTGCCCCCAGCCCGGGGATCCCAGCGCCGGCTGGGGACCCGCTGGGTGCCCCCGGTGGTGGGTGCCCCGCGAGATGCCCACGGGTGACCCTCTGGGTTTCCCATGCGATGCCCGTGGGTGTCACTTTGGGTGTTCCGGGTGACGCCCACGGGTGCCCCGATGGGTGCCCCGATGGATGCTCCAGGTGATGCCCGTGGATGCTCCTCTGGATGCTCCAGGTGATGCCTGTGCGTGACTCTCTGGGTGCCCCGGGCGGTGCTCACAGGTGCCCTGCTGGGTACCCAGAGGAATACCCACGAGGATCCCTCTGTGTGCCCCTGGGTGTCCCTCTGGGTGTCCCTCTGGGTGGTCCAGGTGATGCCCCTCTGGGTGCCCCTGAAGATACCCGTGTGTGCCCCGGGTAGAATCACGGGTGCCCCTCTGGGTGTCCCGGGGAGACCCCCAGGTGCCCCTCTGGGTACCCCGGTCCGTGGGTGCCCCTCTGGGTGCCCCGCGCGATGCCCGCGGGCAGGCGGGAGGGAGAGCCGGGGTGTGGGGGGCAAAACCCACCCCGGGGCAAAGAGCGGCAAAAAGGAGAGAAACCGCCCCAAAAAGGCGCCGAGGCGGCAGCCGGCCGGACCGCGCCTCACCCAAACCAAAAATCCCGCCGCAGTGCCTCCGCGCCGCCGGCTGCCCCCGCCCGCCTTTTCGGGGGTCCCCGCTCCCCCCGGGGGGGCAGGGGCTGCCCCTCCCTCCCTCCCCCCCCCCGCAGTTATATTTTACTCGTTCGCCGGATTCTCGCTTTGCTTTGCCGCAGCCGATACACACCGCGAGCGCACCAGGGCCGCGAGCCGGGGCCGGGCCCCCCTGGCTGTGCCCCCCCCGCGGCCCCCGGCCCCGCATGACCCCCCCCCGAGCCCCCGCTCGCCTCCCTGGTGCTTCACGATATTTGATTATACCATTGTACGCAGCCATTACCGATAGCGCCGCTCCTGCCTACATACACTTACTGACCCTGATACGGATTTTTGGGTTTTTTTTTTTGGTTTTCTTTTTCGTTTTGTTTCTTTTGTTTTCTTTTAGTTTTGGGGGTTTTTTTTCGTTGGGTTGTTTTTGGTTTTTTTTTTTTTTTTTTTTTTTGTTGTTTCCCCCCCTCCCCTATGCAAAAAAGAGAAAAAAGAGACAAAAAAGAAGAAAAAAACAAAAAAGAAAAAACTGACACACAAAAAAAAAGATTAAAAAAACGAAAAAAAAAAAAAAAAAGACAAAAAAAAAATGTATAAAAATTAAACAAGCTATGCTTCAACTCCAGCTCGCCTCCGCCCTTCCTTCCCTGCCCCGGGAGAAACTGAGGCACGGCCGGGGACAGACCGGGTGTCCCAGCGGGGGGTGAACTGGGGGACACTGGGATGGACTGGAACAAAGCTCTGCCTGGCAGTGGGCACCCATCACCCCCGAGGAGGGACGCCCACCCGTAGGCGGATGGGGCTGCGGGGGGGGCAGGGAGGGGACACATGGGGACAGGGACACGGGTGGGGGCAGCCGTGGGTTCACGTGGGGGGTTCAGAGCTGCTGCCACCTCTTCTGCGTGGGGACCTTGGCCACGCGACGTCACTGCCTCGTGCCCGTGACGTCATCGCATGACAATGACGTCATCGCCCTCACCCCTAGGGCGCGAAGCCGCGCAGTCGCCCCTCCTTGTCCCCATCGTCCCTGTCCCCAAGCGCTGCTCAGGACAGCCGAGGGGCGAGGCCGCCCGCCCCCCTCCAGTGCTCCCCAGCCCCCCGACCCCTCGGTGTCCCCCCTCGGCCCGGCCTTGTCGGAGCGGCGGCGTGGCCGGACGAGGTGTCTCGCCGTGCCGAGGTCGCTGAGGTCTGGCAGCTCGGAAACTGCCACTGTGCCCTGCCCCGGTGGCACCCGGGGGTGCCCCCACCGCCCCCCCAGCACCTCGGGGTGCAGAAGAGTCCCCTCCGCAGCGCGGTGACACCAAACGCTTGCCGCCGGAGCAGGCTGGGGACCTTTACTGGGCACGACTGGGAAGGGGGCTGGGACCCACCGCCAGCCCAGGGCTGGGGGGGGTCAGGGGGTCCCGCTACGGTTCCCGGCCACCGCCCTCCCCCCCACTCCGCTCCGGCGGACGGAGAATCCATGCCGGGTCTTGGCCGCAGCCGGGGCGGCCGCGGGGCGGGAGGTGCCACCGTGGCCGCGGCTGCCTCCGAAACCCGGCGCGGAGCCGCACCCGCGGACGGGGTGAGGGCGCCGTGCCCGGCGACGGCGCCCCGGGGTGGGCAGTGGGGGCCAGGGGGGCTCAGAGGGACGTGGCGTTGGATTCCTTCTTGCCGCCGCTCTCCTCGTCGCTGTCCTCGGCCGCCGGGTTGTCGTGGCTGAAGCGCTCCATCCTGCGGGAGGGAGGGAACGGGGGTCAGCCGGGCACGGCCGCCCCGACGGCACCGGCACTGCGGCCGTGCCAGGGGCACGCGGGGTACCGCGGGACCACCGGGCCGCCACGGCACACCGGCCACCACGGCACCGCCGGCACGTGGCCACCCTCGGGGGGATCCAAGCCCCACTGGGGAGGAGGTCCCGGTGCCACCCCGCCGCCCCCACACAGGGCCGTGGTACCTGTCAGTCCCCTTGGTCTCCGGGTAGTCGCTCTGCTTCCTGCGAGGCAAGAGAGGGGCTGAGTGGTGCCCGGGGACAGCCCTGTCCCCACCCCATGGCTTCCTGCCACACGGCCCCCCCGCCAGCACCCCCCGGCCCCCCCACCTGCGCTTCCTGAGACTCCAGAACCGGTTAATGATCAGCACCACGAAGACGACGAAGAGGAAGACGACGACGACCGTGAGGCCCAGGAGCCAAGGCTGCAGCACCTTTGGGCCGGTGCCTACATGGCAGGGGAACGGGTACAGGGGATGGCAAGAGATGGGGATGGGGACAGCTTCAGAGCAGCTCCATCCTGCAAGGGATGGGATCCCCCAAACCCTGGTACGGGGCCCCAGTTGTGGGGAGCACACTGGGGACACCAGAGGACATTGGCAGACACTCATCATTCCCCCCTTCCCGCTATCCCTCGGGTGCCAAGGAAGCCACCTCCGACATAGCCCACCCGTGCCCGGCAGAGCGTGGGGGTGCCTGGCATGGTGGGGAGCACTGGGGACAGCAGGTGGGGAGCACTGGGGACAGACTGCTCTCACTGGGAAGGTCTCTCAGATGCCTTGGGGTGGGCACGGCCACCCCCCCAGGCACCCCAGGGGCGCGGGAGGGGCACGAGGCACCTACTGGTCTGTCCCCGGGCGGTGGCAGCGAGGACGAGCAGGACCAGGAGCGAGAGGGGCTGCGAGGGCCACGGCATTTTCGGGCAGAGGGCTCGGGCACGGCTGGGTCCTGCTCCTCGAGATGAGCTCCTGTCCCCGCCGGCCTGGGCGTTGTCTCTCGGGCACGGCTGGGTCCTGCTCCTCGAGATGAGCTCCTGTCCCCGCCGGCCTGGGCGTTGTCTCTGCGCCGAGGGCAACGGGCACCTTTATTGGCCTCCCGGGGACAAGTGTCGCCAAGCGCCATGGCAACGTGACTCCTGTCTCCCGTGGGAGGTGGCACCTCTCCCCTGGCTCAGGCACCTCGGGGACCACGGTGGTGCCCCCGTGCCCAGGACTGGGAACCACCCCAAGGGTTGGTGAGTGGACAGAGGAGAGGACGGATGGATGGACAGTAAGGTGGGGGGGGTGTGAGAGGACAGACTGGTGGGTGGTGGGGTGGATGGGTGCCCATCCTGCCTGCTCCCCACCTCAGCCTCCCCTCTTATGGGGTGCCAATTCACCCCCACTGGCAGCGCTGGGGCAGATCCCATGGGGGTGGGGCAGCACAAGGGGCAACGGGCAGTGCCAGGCCACTCCCAGCCCTTCCCCAGGCCTCCAGAGGATCCCAGTTCGTGCCAGGTGGACTCCATCCCGTCCCAAGGAGTGCCTGGTACTGTCCCCAGCTGAATATTAATGGTGTCACTGGGTAGACCACCAGAGCACAGTGGAAACTGAGGTATGGGGTGGCCAGCAGCACCCCAGGGATGGACAGGGGGTTCTGGCAGGACCACCCTGACTGTGGTGATTTCCTGAGGGGTGAAGGAGCCTGGGGACACAAGGACAGGGGTCCCACTGCAGGGGTGGGGACGGGATCCAGCCCCAGCCTGGGTTTCAGGCAGGGGGTGTGGGTCTGTATGACAGCCCCCATCCCCAGTGCCCTCACCCTGGGCCACAGAGAGGTTCACGGGTACTTTGACCCCAAGACTGGCTTTGGAGCATCTGTGGGTGCCACTGGGCACAGCCTGGCAGTGCCAGGGCACCAAGGGGAAGGTGGGACAGCATAGCCTTGGTGTCTGTCTGTCTGTCTGTCTGTCCATCCCTCCCTGTGTGCCTGTGCTGATGTGGGACCCCCCAAAGGTGTTTGCATCCATGTTTCCATGTGCACACCCACGTCTGTGCCCCCTGCCCACAAGTGTCTGTGCCCCCATGCCAGGGGTTTGCACTGCTGAGCACCCACCCTTACACACCCACGTGTGTCCACGTGTGCACCCACACACGTGTCCCGCCCCACGTGCCCGTGCCCAAGGGTGGCTCGGCTGTGCCAAGGGGTGCTGTTACCCCTGGCAAAGGTTCGGGTCCCAGCCCTGCCACTCCCCGTGCTGTGCTGGGCCAAGGGACGAGCGGGGCTGGGGCAGGCAGCTCTGCTGGGTGAGGACCGGGGGGGAGCGCTGGGGCTGGGCAGGGAGGAGGAAGCCATGGCAGCATCTGTGCTGTGACCTGACAGTCGGGCAGGGCTGTGGGGTCCCGCTGGTGGCAGGGGAGGTCCCCTGGCCCTAGAAGAACCTCTTCTTGGGGGAGTCAGCGAAGGAGACGGAGCTGCGTGGGGCCAGCAGTGCCGGCGGGACGTCCATGCCCGGCAGGACCCCGGCGCCTTCACCCTCCACCTTCCGCTCCACCAGCACCTCGTCCTCCTCCAACCACTCCACCTCCGGCACGGTGCCCTCGGCCATCACCGCCTTCTCCTCCTCCGGCTTGGGCCCGAACGCCCAGTCTGCGGGGGCAGGGACGGAGCCATCAGCAGCACAGCCCCGCCGTAGCACAGGCTCCGGGCGGGGGGGATGCCCCTGCCCCCGGCCCCCCCCCAAAGCCCGACCCCGCTCTGGGCAGCACTCACCAGCAAAGTCGTGCACCAGGTCCTTGATGAGGTGCCCCACGATGGCATAGGCCACCACCAGCACCAGCGTGGCCGCCATCACCAGGTACAGGACGTAGCGGGGCAGGCGGATGCTGTCCAGGGCCGGGGGCTTGTAGTCCACGTACAGCACCCCGTCCTCCTCGGGGGGGGACTGCAGCAAGTGCCGCGGCCCCCACACTCCCCCTGCCAGGGCCATGGCCAGCTCCCCCCACACCTCTGCCGGAGGCTCACAGGGACAGCGGTGTCCCCATGGCCGGTGGCAGTGCCACTCGCCCTCCGTGCCACTGGAGCTCTGCTGCTGAGGAGGAGCTTAGCGCCCGCTAATCCGGGCACAGCCCAGCTGCCTCAGCCTGGGAGGGCCACTGGGCTCCGACGTGGGTCAGGGTACCCCAAACTGCCTCTCTGGCAGCACCGCAGGTACCCCAATTCCCCCCTGGGAGTGGGAAATCACCTGCAGCTGGAGAACTCCTAAGGGCAGGAATGGGGAGGGATGCCCGAGTCCTCCCCTCCCTCCCCCGGGCTGGGTTAAATCCCTGAGCAGGCCTTGGATCCCCGGAGCAGATGGTGTGAGATCCAGGAGGACACGGTGCCCTCGGAGCCGGGAACTGATGGGCAGAGGGGATGGGGATGCAGCCCCAGTCAGGGGGGCTCCTGCAGGACTCCCTTCACTGGGTGGTGGAGCAGCCCACGGTGAGGGGCTGTCACCTTTCCAGAGCTTCACAATGGCTGTCACATGTGGCAGCCCAGTGCCCAGTGTGCCCCCAGTGCCCAGTGTGACTCCCCCAGAGCTGAGCAGCCTGCAGGGGGGTGTGGGGTCCAGACATCCCCCAAAAGCGATTCCCCCCACACCCAGGAGGATGGGGTTTGGTCAGGACCAGCAGCAGCTTTGGAAAAACCCTTCCGAGCACGGGCTGGATAGAGAGGGGTGAAGGTGCTGGCAGATTCGGTGCCAAGCCAGGACTCAAGGCCCAGTCCTGCTCCACTCCAGCACCTCCCAGCTCTGCTGCACCAGGTCACTCTACCCAGACCTCAGCCTCAGAAATGCGTTTCGTTCCAATACGGGCTTAAAAGATGCTTGGGGGAGCAGAGGCAAACACTGTCACAGAAAGATTGGGAAACAACCCTGCACGGTCCACGTGAGTCACCTGTGGAAAGGCTGGAGATCAAGGGCTGGGTGATAAGTGGGAACAAACACAGCAGCAGATGCCAAGGAAATGTGCTGGCAGCGTGCCAGAGCCCGTGTGCCAGGAAGGGGACAGTGGAAATGATAACATGGCACGGGGGGGAAATCACCCATCCCACTGTCCTGGGGATGGAGATGGACACAGGGACACCCCAGAGCCTGAAGTGCCAGCAGGGTGCTGCCCTCCACCCCGGGGCTATGGAGGGTGAGGGAAGGGGGACAAGAAAGCCCATAACAGCTGCTGACTCCAAACAGTGTGAGAACACCAGGTGTCTGTCCCCAGTGCTGGGGAACGGAGGTTCAGAGCCCCCCACCCTCCATGTCACACACAGCTGACCCTGTCCACAGAAACTGGGCACGTGGGACTGACTTGCAGTGTGTACAAGTGATCAAAACTGGTCACATCTTGAGTAAGACACCCTTCCCTGGGGTCCTGAACTGGGTCAGGCTGGGCCATGGCCAGCGCTGCCCTTTGGTTGTGTCCCTGAGCACCAGAGCCCTGGGGATGCTGAGCCAGCCACAGGGACTAAGAGGATTGAGCCTGGGAGTGACTCGCAGGGAGCCCTTGGACAAGGGGAAGAGCCAGCCATGCCCAGAAGGGTGCCAGGCCCTCGAGGCAGTGGGACCCACTGGCCCCTCTGCTGGGCAGTGCTGGGAGGGGGCTCCCGGGGCACCCCATGGGCAACATCCACCCTCCTTCCCAGGGCTGTGGGGTTTTACCCCACGCTACCAGGCACCCCACTCCCTGCTCTCTCCTTCCACCACAGCTGGACTCTATTTGAAAGATCCTTTCCAACTTTGATGGTCCTATGATTCCGTTACAGCAACCCCTGGGCTCCCCGCCAGGGTCCAACCCCGTGGCACTGGGGGCACCTCACACCTGGGCACAGAGAAATCACAGCTCCACTCACTCCAGCTCCCTGTGCCAGTGCTTTATTCCCTGCCAGCCCCCCCAGCACCCAGGCTGGGCTGGCCACAGGGTTTGGGTTTGGGTGCCAGCAGCAGCCTCAGCCCTCCCAGCTCTGGTTACACATGAGGGGATGCCCAGGCAGGCTCTACCTCACCCTGCCCGCCCTAATGGCAGCACCATTCCCTGCAGAAAGAAAAAACAGCCAAATCTTCCCAACTTTGCCACGAAACAACCCCATCCCAGGGCAGAGGCTGCCACAGGCTCAGCCCCGGCCTGTCCCAACAGGAGAGGCCAAACCCACCGCGGGGGCGAGGAGGGCCCCAGCTCGGCACCAGCACCGAGGGCAATTTAGAAGCATCCCAACACCACAATCCACAGAGCGGGTGCCCAAAGCCCATCTTGGCCCCCAGCAAAGCTCAGGTGGGGAGAACAGAGCCGTTTCACGCCGAGCCGACGTGGCAGCACCAAGGCAGAGCAGCCTCAAGCCCTGCAGAGCCACGGCAGGCTCCGACCTGCCGAGCAGAGCCCACCTGGTCCAAGCCCCAAGCCAGGCTGCGGGCAGGCAGCGCTGATCCTGGCAGGGAAAACAGGGGCAGATCCAGGAAACAGGGGCTGGTGGGAGGCAAGTAGCAGCTCAGCCTGGATTTGGAGCGAAAAGGTGGTTGTAGGTGTGCCAGAGAGAGCAAATCCAGTTCCTCCTCCACCTCCGCGCGGCAAAGCCGACAGGGGCGGCCACGGAAGCACGATCGGCAGCGGGAGGGGGCGGGGGGCAGCGTGTCCCCCCCGGTGCCCCCCGTGCAGGCTCAGGGGGAGGCCTGCAGCTTGCA